CGCTAGCCTGACGCTGGAGGCTTTCAGCGCATTGGGTCAGCAGCGTGGTGAGGACCTGAAGTCTTCTGCCAACATGCTGAGCTCCAGGCTGGACCAGGTCCGGCAGACCTGGAGGAACAGAGCGGGTCTCCTCTCTGGAGCCAGCAACAGAGGATCTGGGCCAGCGAGTGGCGGGCCTCAAAGACTCATGTGCAGCTCTCCGTGAAGAAAATGCTAAGCTAAAAGACAAAGTGACTGACTGGAGAGCCCAGTAGACGCAGACCGTCCGCAGCCTCGGTCTGCCAGAAGACACTGAAACTGGGCGCCCCACTCATTTTTCCTCCAACCTTCTGTGAGCTATTTGGGAAAGAGGTGCTGCCGCCCCCACCGCTCCCTGGCAGCTACACGGGCCGCAGGACGCCCTCCCCGCCCGGTGATCCTCCTGCATCGATACCTGACCAAAGACCTCATCATTCGGGAGGAGAGGAAAGCTCCACTACAAAGGCGCGTCTCTGCGTATTGTGGAGGACTGCAGTCCAGACGTCCTGCCCCAACGGGCGGAGTACAAGGACATCATGGCGGAGCTCTACAAGCGGGGCTTGAAGCCAGCTCTTCTCTTCCCAGCCCGTCTTCCCATAACGCAATCCAGCGGTTCGGTGGAGGAGGCCCGACAGTTCAAGAGGTTTCCAGAACCACAGAGAAACCAATAAAGGAGCAACGTTTTACCGAGGGCTCACTCCAGAAACAGGCTGCAGGTGCTGTAAATACAGCCTGGTGTCATTATTTCCAATGGACTTATTCTGGCCATTCGTCTGGCTGGGACTGGACCTGATGAATGGAGGGCAGCTGCTTTAATACCTGTTTGCTTTGACCCAACAGTACCTGGAGCCTCTCCATGCTTTTTGTTGCAGTTGCTTTAAATTTTATTACATTACTATTTTTCTAGAGTGTTGCAGAGGCCAGTAAAAAATGTCTTAAAATGTGTCACTGGGGGGTTTGTACCTATTCCAGGCCAGCAGTGGTTAGTTTGCTCCGTTTCTCTGATTTCCAGGTTGTTAGTTACTGGAAGGCTGGATCTCTGGGAATGTTACTTTTGAAGAGCTTGCTGCCACATTGTTGTTTTCTGTTCGGCAGCTGTTTATGTTTGGGGGCGACTAAGGTCACTGCTGGTGGTTCTCGCAGGGTGCCGTCATTTTTCTTCACCTCTTTTGTTTCAATCTGCCTGCCATGCTGACATCATACCTATCAAAACAAGCTAACGCACAAGCTCTGTAACCAGGAGACAGCATTTTAATTTTTGGGACGTCAAAGGTTTAAACCACCCAGTGAAGAGAAGGAAGGTTTTCTCCCATATTAAACGATTCAGTACAGATGCGGCGTTTCTGCAGGAGACTCTCATCAGGAGCTCAGACAGGGGTCGTCTCCTGACATGTGGAAGGGACAATGTTTTCACTCCCATTTTCAGGTTAAGGTACGAGGGGTCTCCATACTGATCAGCCAGAGGACTCGGTTCAAGGCTGAGAATGTGGTGGCTGATAAACATGGCAGGTTTATTATAGTAAGTGGGGAACTCTGGTCACCCTGGTCAATGTTTACGCTCCCAATACAGATGAGAACTTTTTTAAACAACTACTTTCCTCCCTGCCTGACCTCAATAAATACTCATTGGCCCTGGGGGGCGACTTCAACTGTAGGCTGGACCCAGCTTTAGACCGTCCATCCCTCAAAAGGAATGCCATAAGCAGATCTGCATCAGTCATCCTTTCTATCTGAGTACGGGCTGCGTGATGTGTGGCGTACTTTAAACCCCAACAAGACGGATACTTCTCACCTGTACACAAAACTTATTCAAGAATCGATTATTTTATTTCAGATACTAAATGGCTGCAGCGGATCTGCTCTTGTAACTATCAAAGCATAGTTATTTCAGACCACGCCCCACTCACTCCAGTTCTGGGGGACCCCCTAAGAACTGGGGGTCCAGTTCTTCCCTCTAAGAACTGGACCCTGGCGTCTCAATTCAACCCTGCTGTCGGATGACAAGTTTGTAAAGTTTATTCAAGATGAGATACGTTTTTTTTGCTACTAACTCTTCCCAGATCTCCAGCCTTGTAGTATGGGATGCCTTTAAGGCCTACATCAGGCCAGATTATTGCCTATTCAGCAAAAATGAAAAAATAATCCACCTATGAACAGAACAACCTAAACGGATCAAAGAGGTCGATGTGGAATATGCTGTGAACCAGTGTCCCGAACTGTTCAAAAGGCGTGTTGAACTTAAAACTTGACCTGTTGACAACACACTCAGCTGAACGCCTGCTTTTACTTAACAAATCCAAATTTTACGTGCATGGCGACAAACTTTTAGCAACCATGCTCAGGGGCTCTAGGGCAAGGCAAACTATTTCAAGAATTTGAAAACAAGACGGCAGGACAGTCACAGGTCATGGACACATTAATGATGCATTTAGGGACTTTCTGCAGCTCACAGTCACAAACCAATTCTAACATAATTGGTGATTTTCTAGCTAAGCTTCACATCCCTTCTATCTCACCAGAATTTAAGAACAAGTTAGATGAACCCATCTCGCAGAAAGAAGTCTCCTACCAATTGCCTCAATGCCATCTGCCAAATGCCCAGGTCTGGATGGTTCCCCTCAATGCCATCTGCCAAATGCCCAGGTCCGGATGGTTCCCCTCAATGCCATCTGCCAAATGCCCAGGTCCGGATGGTTCCCCTCAGAATTTTTCAAACGATTCCCAGACCTGCTCCACCTTCTGATGGTTTTAAACAAGGATCCCTTCCTCAGTCATTTTACGAAGCTCGTATCACTTATTCCAAAGAAGAGCAAAGATCCAGTGGGGTCATACAGACCATTCTCTCTCCTAAATACAGATGTCAACATTTTATCCAAAATTCTTGACTTGAAACTGTTTTACCATCGGTTATTTCAAAAGCCCAAACAGGTTTCATTAAAGGTCGCCACTCATATTTTAATGTTAGAAAGCTGCTTAACATTGTTCACTCCAGTGCCCCAGATTCAGCTGAGTGCGTCTCTTTGGACGCTGAAAAAGCCTTTGACCGGTTTGAGTTTGATTTCTTTTTGCAGTCCTTAGTAGATTTGGCTTTGGAGGAAACTTCATTTCATGGATTAAATTATTATACCAGCAACCATCTGCCACAGTTCGTACCAATTTTCAGACCTCAAAACCATTTAAACTACAAAGAGGCATCCATCATGGCTGTCCTCTTGGCCCCCTGCTGTTGGATCTGGCCATAGAGCCATCAAACCCAAGACCAGTAAAGAGATATCCGGCATTTGGAGGAATGACATGGAACATAAAGTGTTGCTTTATGCAGATGACCTTTTACTCTTTATTTCCAAACCATCAGCCTCACTGCCTTTTGCTCTCGACATATTTAGCCAATTCGGTCAGATTTCTGGGTATAAGTTGAACCTTACCAAAAGTTAGCTTTTCCCCATAGGCAATAAAGCTAATTTGTCAGATTTTGCTCATTTTTTGGATATTTGCAAGCCAGAAACTTTCTTCAGTCTCACCTCTCAGGCTCAGTTTCTCTGCCAGAGCATTCACTGTTAGAAACCATCCTGTTATTGGACCCGACTCATAAAGGGCTGGTTTAGTGGCTTTATGATAAAATGCTGACTATGAAAGAGACGTCCTCACCTAAACTTAAAACTTCCTGGGAAGAGGACTTGAATATGGCTATACTGGATGAGACGTGGGCCTCTACACTCAACCTGGTGAATACAACATGTCTGTGTGACGCCATCGTCTCATTCAGTTCAAAATGGTCCATCTCTCCAAAAGCAAACTGTCGTTTCTATCCAGAAATCACCCCTTACTGGTCCTGCCCCACTCTGGTCGGTTCTGGACGGATGTTTTCCGTACGATGTCCAGGCTGGCCGGAGTAACACCTGGGCCTCTCTTGGCTGTTTTTGGCTTCAGTGGTGAGGGTTTGCCTCTACCAGCCTCTAAATTCAGGCACTGGCATTTTGTTCGCCGTTAGCGAGGCGCACAGCTCTGACCAGGTGAAGGTGCTGCTCCTCCGACACACAAGCAGTGGTTACATGACCTTATGTCATGTTTGAAACTGAAATAATTAGATGCTCTCTTCAACACTCAACCAGTAAATTTGAAAAAACATGGGGCCTTTCTTGACTCATTTCAAAACATACAATAAGGCTCTAGATTAATGAAGTTAATTCACTTTATTACGATCCACTGCTGTCAGGGACAGGAATGTAGTGGTGGATCTACTGGGTAGTGGCCTGGTGGGCTAAAGGGGTTCATTTGTAGGGATTAATTTTCTGTATATCTGTTGGATAAGTACCTCTCTGTATTAAAAACTGTATGCATAAAAGGAAAGATCTCAATAAAAAGACGGTGATTAAAAACAGAACCCACCTTTGACGGTGAGCATTAGGACTTTCTGTTTCTGAATCTTCTCGTCTTCGTCGCTGTAGACGGTGCAGATGAAGACGCCGCTGTCTCCCAGTCGGGGGCAATTCAGGGTCAGGGTGAGGTCTCCGGTCCTCAGAGCATCAGGATTCATCTCGGTCCGGTTCAGATACTCCTGGTTCTGTCTGCCTGACTGGTTCTGACCGCTCTGGTACTCGTGGACTGAGCCCTGTTTGTCAGTGCGGCTCCACACCACTGTGCTGCCTGCAGGCAGGTCAGCTGCGGTTTTAAAAGGCAGAAGGACAAACGCTGCTCTGTCTGCGACCTCCACCTCCTCCATCAGGCTCTCTGTCAGGAGGAGAACCAGAACAGAACCAGAACAGAACCATTTCAAACCGAAAACCAGAGGAGCCCTGCTGGTTCTGAACCCTCACCACTGCTAATAAAAAGCTAGCTGCGCTAACCTAAAGCGTTAATCAAAAACTGCTAATGCTAAAGTGCTACAACATTTCGAGGAACCTCAGTTCAGCTGCTGGTATTCACGATTTTCCTCTGTCAGTCACGACCCAAAGCTGGTGACCATAGGTAAGGGTAGGTCATAGGTCATAGGTCAACCGGTAAACTGAGAGCTTTTGGCTCAGCTCTCTCTTTACCAGGACAGACTGGTGCAGCGGCTGCTTCTCTGCAGATGCTGCACCAGTCCACCTGTCCATCTCCTGCTCCATTTCTCCTTCATTCATGAACCAGAGATCTTTAAACTCCTCCACTGGGGCAGGAACCTCCCCCCCCTCAACCTGGGGAAGGCCCTCCACCCTTTTCCGGCTCAAGACCCTCGGATCTGAAGGCACTGATCCTCATCGCTTCACACTCGGCTGCAACCCGCTGCAGTAAAGCTGCAGATCCCGACCTGATGAAGCCAACAGGATAACAGCATCCACAAAAAGCAGAGACGGGATCCTAAGGCCACCAAAACGGATCCCCTCAGCCTGAACCTTAGACTCGGCTGTCTGGTCGACCCTCTTCCTCAGACCAGACCAGGGAGGCCTGTGGTCTGAACCAGTAGGGAAACAGTGTGTGGTGAGGGAGGGTAGAGAGGGTGGACCCTGGGGGGACGTGTCCTGTCCGCCCCCATACTGCAGACAGGCCCATTCCTCCCACCCAGTAATTTCACTGCAGTTGCAAAACATTTTGAAATCTTTCACCTGCATGCTTTTATTTTGAAGGCAGAGCACAGCACTAATGACCTGGAACTTTATTCATCTTCATTTCTTCCATCTGCCTCGGACATTTACAGTGACCTAATGACTGTTGGTGTTATGATTTTTAGATTTCATCTCCCTGCAGAGCCGTTTATCAAAATGAGCTAATTGTGTTTCATGTTGTTCCTCAGTAAATCAGGACCTTCAGCCGACTTCCACTGATTAGATTAAATCAGTCGGGACTCGCTGTAGCTAGTAGGCGACTGTGGCTCTGTGGGTAGAGTAGTCGTCTTGTAATCAGAAGGTTGTAGGTTCGATTCCTCCAGCCTCATGGCGATGCAGCGCTGGGAACTTAACCCCAAACTGCCCACCGATCTGCATATCGGTGTATAAATGTGACTCTAGTGTAAAGCGCTGAGTGGTCAAAATGACTGGAAAAGCACTGTATAAGTTCAGTCCATTTCTCTGTATTACTAACTGTATCTTTGCACCTCCAGCTTTTTATGTATTTTTGGGAACGCTGGTGTTTCAGATAGTTTCGGTTCGTTCTGTGTTAAGAGGAGCTGAGCTCCATGAAGCCGTTCAGAAGCTGCAAGTATTTCGCCCACCAACCGATAACGTCCTCAGTCCAGATCGGCAGCCCCCACTGCACACGGTGCTGTTCCTCCCCTGAGATGCTGGATGGTGGATCAGAATCGCCTCAAAGCTGAACAGAAATCTTTCTCCACAGCCTCTCCAAACTCGTCACACATCTGAGTTTTTACCTCAGCAACCACCCAATGCTGCACCGACTGGCAGCTTCTGGGGTCCCACATGCATCTCTTCTCATCTGTCCACTAGCAGGTTCAAGCGTTGCCACCACAACAGGCCCAGATCGGCCACAGCTCCGGTAAACCTCAACAATGGAGGAATGGAACATGGCCGACTCTGACTCAGTAACTCGCTTCACCAGAACGTGTTCGAAACTCTCCTGGAGGTGGGAGTTGAAGCTTCGTCTGATGGGAAACTGCCAGAGGGTCAGCAGAACCTCACTACCCGTTTGGGCCTGCCAGGTCTGACCGGCTTCCTCCCCCACCACCGGAGCCAACTCACCACCAGGTAGTGGTCAGTGGACAGCTCCGCACCTCTCTTCACCCGAGTGTCCAAGACATACGGCCGCAGATCCGATGAAACGATCACAAAATCGATCATCGAACTGCGGCCTAGGGTGTCCTGGTGCCAAGTGCACATATGGACACCCTTATGCCTGAACATGGTGTTCGTGATGGACAATCCATGATGAGCACAGAAGTCCAACAACAGAACACCACTCGAGTTCCAATCGGGGGGGCCATTCCTTCCGACCACGCCCCTCCAGGTCTCACTGTCATTGCCCACGTGAGCGTTGAAGTCCCCCAGTAGAACAAGGGAGTCCCCAGGAGGGGACCCCCAGTACCTCCTCTAAGGACTCCAAGAAGGGTGGGTAATCTGAACTGCTGTTTGGCCTGTAAGCACAAACAACAGTCAGAACCCGTCCCCCCACCCGTAGGCGGAGCCCTCTCGTTCACCGGGGTAAACCCCAACGTACAGGCGCCAAGATGGGGGGCAACAAGTATGCCCACTCCTGCCCGGCGCCTCTCACCACGGGCAACTCCAGAGTGGAAGTACGTCCAGCCCCTCTCAAGGAGACTGGTTCCAGAACCAGAGCCATGCGTCGAGGCGAGGCCGACTATTTCTAGTCGGAACCTCTCAGCCTCAGACACTAGCTCCGGTTCCTTCCCCACCAGAGAGGTGACGTTCCTGAGAGGGAGCTTCTGCAGCCGAGGATCAGACTGCCAGGGTCCCTTCCATCGGCCGCCGCCCATCCCTCACTGCACCCGGCCCAAGTGAAGGGTGACCCATGTTTCCTGTTCAGGCTGAAGACGCCTGAGCCACAAGGCACTCGCCTGTGTGCGCCACCTACAGGCGCAGTTCCAAAGGGGTCCCCCGGTGATCGGTGTCCAACTGAGGGGATGCAGTTTCTGTTACTCCTCAAAAGGTCTCTAGGCTGCTCTTTGTCTGACCCGTCACCTTGGACCTGTTTCCCATGAATGACCCTCCAAGGGGATGTTTGATGAAAACGGGTTTGAGGTCCCACATATGAATATATCTTTATGGAGTTTAAGAATTAAACACATTCTACGTATCAGGTAAACGGTGGAAATGTATATTAATGCTGAAATGTGATGTCAGACTGACCTTTGACCCTGAGAGTCACAGCCTTCTGCAGCAGCTTGTCTCCTCCTCTGAAGACCACGCAGTCGTAGACCCCAGAGTCAGTCAGCTGGGGCGTCCTGAGGGTCAGGCTGAGGTCTCCGGTCTGCTGCAGGTCTGCTTTCATCTTGGTCCGGCCGTGGTAGACGTCCTCCTGTTGCTCAGTCTGGCCGTTCTCAAACACGTGGATCATGATGTTCCTCTGGTCCGAACGGCTCCACTCCACTCTGACATTGTGGAGACGTTTCTGAGTTTTAACCGGCAGCAGGACAGACTTCACCCCCTCTCTGATCTCCACCGTCTCAGATGGAAGCACTGACAAGAAACGAGAACATGGCAGAGAGCGTAAAGCGCAGAGACCCGCAGATCCAGAACCGGTGGAGAACCTCAGGTTGGACTGGTACTTCTGCAGGTTCTGCAGCCTTTATGCTTTCAGACACCAGCTGGTTTAGTGACCAACATACCTGCTGTGAGCTTCTTCTTTAATCTGTAGTACAAAACAGCAGCAACGATCACGAGAACCACCAGAACCACCGGAACCACCAGAACCCAGAGCCAGACTGGAGCAGGAGCCTCTGCAGACATCATGAACACAGAGCGGCTCTGAACGCCTCCCAACATGTGCAGAGCATCCAGAGAACCTGCAGCACTGACCTTTGACCTGCAGCTCCACGGCCTCCTGGTGCAGCTCTTCTCCGAGCCTGCGGACCGTGCAGGTGAAGGTCCCGCTGTCGGTGAAGGTGGGTTTCCTCAGGGTCAGACTGAGGTCTCCGGTCTGCAGAGCGTCCTCCATCATGGCCGTCCGGCCTCTATAGCGCTGGTTCTGGTCCTTCAGGTAATCGCCGTCCGGCTGGCGAACATGGACCGTAGGGATCCGCAAGTCATCTTGGTCCCAAACGGCTGTAGAACCATCAGACTCAGAAAGCTCTACCCGACAGGGCAGCTGGACAGACTCCGCCCCCTCAAACACCTCCACCTGGAGCCCCGAGGCATGCTGGGAAACTGAGGACAGAGACGAGAAACTATCTGAGGAGAGCTGATGGAGCTGATGTTCTAAGACACGTAGCAGGAGGAACTCCTCCATCCCAGGAACGGATCTGCTCATCCTGGTTCTGGTTCCTGACTCAGCCAGAGGGATGCAGAACCAAACGGGGACAAGCAGCATCAGGATTATTTATCCCCGACTCCAACGTCTCTCTGCCAGGATTCCTGACTGCCCAAGCAGGCGGAGATTTAAAGAGCAGCAGGAAAAGGAAGGAGGTTCATCAGCAGAGATTATGAACAGCAGACGGTTCATCGGGACATTGAGAAGCTTCGGCTCTGCAGACATGAGCTGTTGGCAGTAATTTACTAAGAGTTCACCAGAGTTACATTGGCAGCTGTTTACATTTCCCCCTCAGATCTGTTGTTGGTAGGATCCACACCTGGATTATGGATCCACAGAGCAGAACCAGAGAACCGGTCCTTTGATTAATCAAGTCCAGTTTAATAGTTTAGCACATTTGAGCAACAAGGCAGTTCAAAATGTTTTACATCATAAAAATATAATGCATTATGAAACAAGCAATAAACTTTACATTAAAGAGCCATCATCCAATATACTGATCAATGTTTCATTGATTATTCATAAAATCAGCTCCAACCAGCTGGGATTTAGTCTGGAACTCAGATTCAGGTTTCTAGAAGGGTAGAACTGGGTGGTGTAGAACCGGGTGGTGTAGAACTAGGTGGTGTAAAACTAGGTGGGAACTAGGTGGTGTAGAACTAGGTGGTGTAGAACCAGGTGGTGTAGAACCAGGTGGTGTAGAACCGGGTGGTGTAGAACTAGGTGGTGTAAAACTAGGTGGGAACTAGGTGGTGTAGAACCGGGTGGTGTAAAACCAGGTGATGTAGAACCAGGTGGTGTAGAACCAGGTGATGTAAAACCAGGTGGTGTAGAACCGGGTGGTGTAAAACTAGGTGGGAACTAGGTGGTGTAGAACTAGCTGCTGCTGGAATATTTAATAATTTATCTGATCATTTTTCATCGTTAATCCAGGCTCTAATCTGTCCTGATTAACATCAATATCATGCAGACATTTCTCTTCATCTGCACCGGATTAATCCTGAAATTAATCCCAGTTTCATGAGCTTTATTTTGGAATTCTCTCTCATTAATATTTACAGTCAGGTGATCAGATTTATTCATTTGTACAGAAACATCCATCCATCCATTTTCTTTCACCCTTGTCCCTCAGTGGGGTCGGGAGGGGTGCTGGTGCCTCTCCAGCTGACGTTCCGGGCGAGAGGCAGGGTACACCCTGGACAGGTCGCCAGTCTGTCACAGGGCAACACAGAGACACACAACCAAGTACACTCACACCTAGGGACAATTTGGAGAGGCCAATTAACCTGACAGTCATGTTTTTGGACTGTGGGAGGAAACCGGAGAGCCCGGAGGAAACCCACCATGCACAGGGAGAACATGCAAACTCCATGCAGAAAGACCGGGGCCGGGAATCGAACCCAGAACCTTCTTGCTGCAAGGCAACAGCTCTACCAACTGCGCCACTGTGCAGCCCCTGTACAGAAACAATTCTTTCTAAATATTTATATGATCAACCTGCTGATTTTAGATTTCCAGATTTATTTCACTCAGAAACGCAGGAAACCATCGGAGCTTTTATTTTGAAAGTTCTGACATATGACCCGAACTTTTCCAGAACCTGAGATTCGTTAAGCTTTAAACTTCCAGCTTCTGGGCTCCCCGGTACTGGACTGATTACCGGTCCGCCCCTGGTTCCGAGTGTGTTGGATTCATACCGAGCAGGAGGTCACTTACCAAGCAGAACCAGAACCGGAACCAGGACCGGGAGCAGAACCACCAGCTGCTGCTGCAGGAACATCTCAGAGCTTCTAAACGTTCAGAACCAGAATCCGGCCTGCAGGTCCAGATCGGAGTTCGGGAGATTTTGAGTTTTTCCTTTCGGTTTTCAACTCAGCAGTGACGTCACAGACCGCTTTCCCCGGATTCCCGGACTTCCGGTTTGAAATCTGAAAACTGTCCAGGCTGAACCCGATTTAATGCTTTACTTGCCAATAGTTCCTGATATTTATATTCAGAGTGATGCGCAAAGCAGAAGCATTAAAAATACATCAGTTTTCACTGAATTTGTTAAAAGTCTGTCTGTTTAACACTACGTTACCCATGATGCATCTGTTTGTAGATTCAATGTCACGTAGCTAAATTCATTTCTGTGCGGCATAAAATACCATCAGCTATCAGTCCTTTGTTAATCCCGTTTGTCTGAGACCTGTGTGCGTTTTTATTATATAACCACACACACACACACACACACTTGAAAACTGGGTTGTCATGATGTCAGCGTGTTGTGGGTTTTTTGTTCCGTGTTGTTTCCTGTCGGATGTCAGAGTTTATTTTGCCCCAGTGCTCCCTGTTAGTTTACCTCCTGCTTCTCACCTGTATCTGCTGATTAGTTATTCCCCTCACCTGGACTCGTAGTATTTAAGTTTGAGTTGCGTCCTCGTCTGGGTTTTCTGTATGCCAGTGTCTCTCCGAGTGTTACCTGCTGGTGTCCTGACTTAAGAGGATAAAAGCAAGATGCCACATCGTACCTTCTAGTTCATCCTCAACCTAAAAGACAGAAACCTTCCTTCAATAAACCTCCAGAGCTGCACCGAGGACCTGACCTTCTCCTCCTGACCGAGGAAGATTCAACTGATGAAAAATCCGAAATTAGCGCATGTTGGCAGCCCCGGATCCAGACGGGTTTAAGGGGGGCATCGACTTATTTTGGGGGGCAAAATGAATCGTACCTGAACATAGACAACAACAAGCTTAAGGTTCTGTATTGATGTTAGCTCGTCATCTTTTAGCTAACATTGCCTGCATCCAGCAGCTTTACTCACCTCAGTCGGTTAGTTTGGAGGGAAAAACTGAAAAGTTCTTTGCGTTTTGCTGGTTTGCTGCCGTGATTCTAACACAAACCTACGTAGCTCCGCCCAGCAGCAGCAGGTCTCCTTCACAGGTGGAAACCCAGCGCGAGCGTCTAGCGCTCATGTTGCGTTTAAAGGCGGCTCGGAAAAACAGGTTACAACATGTTAACAACGGATTAAACAGTTTTAACTGCTGATAAAAGTGACAGAGGACACAGATATGGGAAGTGCGGAAGCCTCTACTGTATCAAACGGATATAGGAATAACAGAGAGTTGGCCATTCTAAGGTAAAAACAACAAACAGCTTCCAGTCCAGGGGGCCACAGCTGACTCTGTGGGTGGGCAATGTCCCCCAGTGTCTCCCAATGCCCGCCCATGCCGCCGGGCCTGTATGTTGGTCTTACACAGTCTAACAAGTTTATCATAGATAAATATATGACTTACTGTTTCAGGTCCGAGGACCGGAACCAACTGGACCTGTGTGACGCAGGTCCAGTTGGTTCAGTTCTAGAGTGACAGGGAGGCTCTGCCTCTCTCCCGCCCCCTGGTGGATATCAACCACATCAGAACTCTAGACGGAGAACCTCCGAACCGACCGGACCAGAACAGAGACCAGCGGGTCACATGATCCAGGCTGGTGTCGACATGCAGTAACTAGTTACTTTTACTCAGTTACTTTTAGTAGAGTAACTTTCTGGAAGTTTCACTGTGAACTTTGACCCCAGTGTTGCTTTTAAATCCTGTAATCATTTATTTATTCCTGTTATTTTTTTAGTCTTTTAAATACCAAACTAATTATAACTTTATATCATCTGTCTGATGACGACATGTAAATATTACATCAGCTTTTCTCATCAGTTGATCAGTGAGTTTACTAAATACTCGTCACAGTGGAGAACAGGTTCTGACCCGGCTGCATGTTTGGACCTCAGCACAGGCATCTAGAAACAGGTATCTGGATCCCAACACCCCCTGTCTGGTCAGGAAGGCCCATCAGCATCTCTACTTCCTCAGGAAGCTGCAGAGAGCTGGACTTGGGAACTCAACCCTGAGGAGCTTCTATCACTGGGTGGTGGAGAGCGTTCTCTGTCTGCATCACCTTGTGGCACAGCAGCTGCACTGCCCTCCACCTCAGACCTCTACACAGCAGGATGCAGGAGGAGGCGCTCCTCGTCATGAAGGACTCCTCCAGCTGCTCCCCTCAGCAGGAGGCTGAGGATCAGTTTCTTCCCTTCAGCCGTCAGACTCATGAACTCAAGCTGCACCAAATGCAGTTTCATCTCATAGATTATTTACACACAGACACATAAATACACATATCTCTTAAATTACTTGTTAATTTTTTATCTATTTATTTTTTGTGTAGTAAATCTCTAAATGGGACCTGAGTCCAAATTTTGTACCACAAACTATTAAGGTGATATGATGATAAAAACTCATTGAATCCTCCTCCTCTCCTGTCTCCAGCCAATCAGACGGCCACCTTCCTCTCACCCTCAGCTGTCTGTCAAACCTCATGTTTCATCTTCATGAATCTTTTGCTTCCACAGGTTTGACTTCATCCACATCAGGAGCTGCTGCTCCCTTTGCCTCCCACTGATCTGTCTCTAGAAGTGAAGAAGCAATTGGAGAGACGGAACAAGAACCAGGTCCAGATGGTGTCGGTCCTGAAGGCCTGAAGCTGCAGAGCGGATCTGTGGGATTCTGCAGCATCTCTTCAACCTCAGCCCGACCCAACAGAAGGTTCTGTTGCTGTGGACGACATCCTGCCTGGTTCGAGAAAAGTCACCATCAGTTATCGATGACTGTAGACCAGTTGCTATGACAACACACATCATGACGATTGTAGAGACTCCTGTCGGCCCACCGTGATGGAGACCAGGGCTCCATCCCTAATAAATATATCAATAATCATTTATTAGGGATGGAGCCCTGGTCTCTCACACCCACCTGAACAAGCTCATCTCAGGACCCCATGCTGTTTGCTTATCGCCATGGAGACACCATTTAACACCCATCCATCACGGGGTCAGCAGCCTAAATAAGGAGGCCCAGTCTTCCCTCTCCAGCCTCTTCCAGCTCCTCCAGGAATCCCAAGGCGTTCCCAGTCCAGCTGAGAGACATCGTCTCTCCAGCGTGTCCTGGGTCTCCCCTCCTCCTGGTGGGACGTGATCTCCTCACCAGGGAGGCGTCCA